ATTTCTCTCTCTCTCACTCCCGCTCTCTCTCTCTCTTTCTCTCTCTCTCTCTCTCTCTCTCTCTCTCTCTCTCTACCCTGTCTTTTTCATCATGTAGGTTGTCATCACTGATCCCAATCTTCACAAGACTAAGGTCAGTGACATTCAGACAACATTCTTAGTGTTTTATTTTATCAGATAATATATTCTTTGTATACCAGACTCTGTAAAACATATTGATGTACAGTGCTTAGCATAAGTATTCACCCCCTTGGATGTTTTACACATTTATTGCTTTAATAATCAATCAATGGTCAGTAAAATTTGGCTTTTAATTTAAAAATATGTTTAATGTCAAAGTGAAAACAGAGTTCTGTAAAGTAATGTTAATTAAACAAAATTATATAAAGAAAAATAGTTGTTTGCATAATTATTCCATCCATCCATTTTCATCCGCTGATTCGTTACCGGGTCGCAGGGGCAGCAGTTAGCACTTAAATCACTCTGCACCATACCAACCCCCCAAACCTTTCTGCGGGTGGTGAGTCCACCGGAAGGTACCAACCACCCTAATCGGGATTTGAACTTGCCCAGGAAGTAAACCCTGGGGTTTTACACCAATGACAGAGACATTGCCTCTGGGCCAAAGTGCCATTGCATAATTATTCACCCCTTTTAAATTTAATGGTCTAATTCAATAGAGATCCATCCAATTGGTTGCAGTAGTCTCACAATTAGTGAAAAGAAGACCTGAGTGGTTTGGGGGTGTGTCTCAAGTGATTGAGGTATAAAACACATATGTCTGAAGAGTCCAGAGACTGGTTGATCAGTATTCTTGGCTACCATTACACCATAAAGACAGAAGAACACTCCAAGCAACTCAGAGAAAGGGTTATTGAAAAGTACAATTCAGGAAATGGATACCAAAACATTTCCAAGGCATTGAACATCAAAATCAGCAAAATCAGTCATCAAGAAATGGAAGGAATATGGCACGTGTGAATTTGCCTAGATCAGGCCGTCCTCATAAACTGAGTGACCATGCAAGAAGGAGACCAGTGAGAGAAGCCACCAAGACTACGACTACTCTGAAGGAGTTACAAGCTTCAGCTGCTGAGATGGGAGCGACTGTGTATATAGCAACTGCTGCCTGGGTTCTTCACCGCTCAAAGCTTTATGGGAGGGTGGCAATGAGAAAGCCACTGTTGAAGAAAATTCATATTAGATCTCGACAAAGGCATGTGGACGACTCCATGGTCAAGTGGAAGAAGATTATTTGGTCTGATGAGACCAAATTTAGCTTTTTGGCCATCAGACAAGACGTTGTTTGGTAGAAACCAAACACTGCACATGACCAAAAACACACCATCTCCATAGTGAAGCATAAAGACAGAGGGCAGAATGAATACACCAAAATCCCGGGGGACAATCTTTTTCAATCTGCAAGAGAACTATGGCTTGGAAGAAGATTTCTTTTCCAGCAAGACAATGATCTGAAGCATACTGCAAAAGCTACACAGGAATTGTTTAAAAAGAACCAGGTAAAGAATTAATTAAAGAATTTTGTTTAATTAACATTACTTTATAGAACCATGTTTTCACTTTGACAAAGTTTTTTTCTAATATATTTTTGTGTGGTGGTGTTTTGGCCCAGAGGCAATGTCTCTGTCATTGGTGTGGAACCCCAGGGTTCACCTCCTGGGCAAGATTATGGCAGTTGGTACCTTCCAGTGGACTCACCACCCACAGGAAGGTTCAGGGGGGTTGGTACAGTGCAGTGTGATTTGGGTGGCGACTGCTGCCCCCGTGACCCGGTAACGGATAAGCAGATGAAAATGGATGGATGGATGGATAAAAGTGTAAAACATCCAAGGGGGTGAATACTTATGCTAAGCACTGTAACTCCCTTCCTCTCCTGCAGGTGGCTCTTTCTTTTTTGCCATATTTGTCTGCTATTATGGTTAGGGTTAAATAAGTGCAGCATGTCAACAGCTGATCATTGATAACTGATATATTGTGATCTGTACTGTAACAGTAAACCCTGAGGAGAATGTTCTGGTTGCCATGTATTCTCCTGGTGAATGATATCTCACCTTTGTCCAGCAGGACAGACTTCTGAACCTGAGCTTCCTGCGACTGTTCAGAGCTGCTCGCCTCATCAAGCTCCTCAGGCAGGGCTACACCATTCGCATCCTGCTGTGGACCTTTGTTCAGTCCTTCAAGGTGTCTCCTCACAGGCCACTTATGCACTGTGACAGAACAAACAAAATGCTGTCTCAAATGAGTATGGGTGCATATGAATAATTAGTTCAATTTCTTCTCTACAGGCGCTGCCGTATGTTTGCCTGCTTATCGCCATGCTCTTCTTCATTTATGCCATCATCGGGATGCAGGTGTGTAAGGCTCTATGATTGACTCATGATTGTCATGAATTGGTGCATACTTTGAAATTATTATGATCAGCTTAGGGTCAAATGAAATATTTCTATTCAGTCAAGACCTAAGTCGTGCTGGCTGGTGTGCCTGTACTGCAGGTTTTTGGTAACATTGACCTAAATGAGGACACAGCCATCAGTCACCACAACAACTTCCGTACATTCCTCCAGGCTCTAATGCTCCTCTTCAGGTATATGTCTCACTATTTTACCATCTACACTATATGAGGAAAATGTAATTTTAAACTTAAAGTCCATGCAAACCAGTGACGAAGATAAGAATCTGTTACTTTGAATTGGCTTTGTGTTTGTTACAGCAACTCTCCCAACCGCTCTCCCAACTGCCACAAAATGATCTAGTTCTTAAGATTTAAATATAATATAATATAATAATTTAAATTGATATCTTGGTATACATGAAATGACATGTAGAAATGTGCAGTACACAACAGTTTTACTGTCCTACATCTGTGTTTATTTTGCATCAGGAGTGCGACTGGTGAGGCCTGGCATGAGATCATGTTGTCATGTTTGGGTCATCGAGCCTGTGATGAACGTTCAGGTACCCATGGAAAAGAGTGCGGCAGCGATTTTGCCTACTTCTACTTCGTCTCCTTCATCTTCCTCTGCTCCTTCCTGGTCAGTGCCTAAACACACTACTACTGTTAATCTTGCAAACAGCCTGTCTTTGCCTTTTCTCTTAATGGCTGCAGCAGGAGGCAGTAGATAGATACAGTGGTATGAAAAAGTTTGGGCACCCCGATCATTTTCAAGATTTTCCTTCATGTATCATTGGTTGTTCGGAACAGCAATTTCAATTAAATATATCATATAGCAAAGAAACACAGTGATATTTAAGAAGTGAAATGAAGTTTATAGGATTTACAGAAAGTGTGCAATAATTACTTAAACAAAAGTAGGCAGGTGCATAAATTTGGGCACCCTTGTTGTTTTATTGATTTGAATACCTTTA